TAATACTTAGTTAATGATAATGAAGTAAAACGGGAACGGAATCGGGAACTTTAAAGAATAAGGTGACACAGTTTTGGCCACTATGACTGATGATCGAAGGTAAATTATACGTTAAATCGTGAATGAAATGTTTTGCTTGAAAATTTAAGTGCTTAGGATCATTTTATTATATCAGCTTTTTATTTATCTTAGACAACCTTTGGATTTGAGCTTTACTCATTGTATTGATTGTTAAAAGAATGAATAAAAATGTATTGGAATGAAGTACGGAAAGTTGAGACTCTTTTCTTGAAAAATAACGAAGTTTGCAAACAATCTGTCGACCAGCAGAATAAAGTCTGCTGGTTCTACTCTCCACAATTTAAGTGGAAACGCAATTTAAATAGTACAACTAACAGGTGTACCATTTTGTTGTAAACGATTTTTCCTATCTATTTCCTATATTTTCCTAAATAACTTCACAACCAGCTGTCAAATCGCCATGTTTGATAGCGCATTGAAAACGTCATTGTAGCTACACACCTAAAGGACGTGCAGAAATTGTGTTCAATGGCGAGCGATATTAGGCCATGTTACGCGATTATTTGGTAACTGAACCCGAAGAAAATGACATGTAGGACTACTGCTTCCAGAAAGATGGTACAACATGTCATACTGCTCGATTAAGAATGGATTTGCTGTTTCCAAATCGATTAATATCGAAAAATGGCGATTACGAAGTGGTACGTTCTCTGATTTAACGCCTCCTGACTTTTTCTTGTGGTGATACCTTAATAGCAAGGTTTATGTCAAACCAAACACTCTCGCGCAACTTAAAGCTAACATACGCCAGAAAATCAGAAATCAGAAAATGATCGAATTCAAACAAAATATTGAGTTGTTTTCAAGTTATTCAAAAAAAAAAAAAAACAATATCGTTTAATATTATCGAAGTTTTTATTGGTACAAACGAAGTCTTTTCAGAAACCTAAGAACGAAGATTCCAAGAGAAATATAATCAGCATTCACCTGCAGGATGGAGAAAGTGAGAATGCTCTTGTTATGGAAAATCAGCTTGGATACGAAAAATATGTGCATAACTCATTCTTCTGGGCATCATTCATAGGAAGTTTGAAAAACAAAATAGAAATAGTACCTGTTCAACATTGTAAAGTTTCTCTGCGCTTCGCCAACGAAGCGACACATAAACGAGTTGCTCAGTACAGAAACTTTATAGAACGTTCTAGGACTTAATACTCTAAACATCTTTACACTGCAGTGGCAGTGCAGTAGACTGCAGTAGACAGTGCAGTGATAAGTTACGATGCCTAATTTATTGTTCATAACACCAGAAATACAAAATGTTTGTGTTCACTTTTGTTGAAATTACACGATGATTACTCAAAAGCACCATGTGATGTTTACGATAATTTATTTAGGTTGCATTGAATTAGCTTTGACATTTGCACTGCAGCTTTTGCATTTATTGCTGCAGTGCGGTCATCAGCAAGTAGTATTAGTAAATGAAATAGTAAATGGGATGAAGACACCATTATAGTGTCAGTATTATGTTTTAAGATACTATATTAACAATAATATGTGCACAAGTCTTCAGTAATGAAACAGTCCATGGATCATCCACAAAACATTGTCAACCACATAAAAAGCTGTAAAACCTCTATATAGCGAACACTGATGTAACTAAATAGTCGTTATTGCGAACCAAAATTATGCCATAAATGTCTTCAATACATTTTATATGACACTTTTTTCATTATAACGAAATTTGATTATAATGAACTACGAACAATTATTTCATCCGTAGAATATAATTTCAATGCAAACTATTATGGTAATTGCGAACACGAAAATTTTCCTTGTGTACTCAGTCTAGACCATATTCCGCTGTAGCAGCTATAGGGACTAGCTTGTCGCGTTTTTCATCGAACGGTTACGATCTTCAGGGGGCAGGTATTCCCAGACGATGTAACGGTTGGAACTCGGGGAATAACTTGTCTCTATACATATATCGACTGTATATTGACTCGAATTGTAGTTTTTAGTGTTTAGCTTTGGAAGTGAACGAGTTACGACTTACTTGCTTCCCGAACGTTTCATGTTTAATAATTATGTAATTAGTTATGTTCCGAATAAATTTTCGTTACCATAAAAAATGAATTCGAAAAGGATATCAATTCCTTTAAAACGAAAATTAGAAATTTTGGAAGAAGTAGAAAAGAACGCTATGACAAAAACTAAAATTGCGGAAAAATTTAAAATATCAAAGTCAACGCTATGAACAATTATAAAAAATAAAAACCGTATCGATAGTGCCGTTGCTTCTGGTAAACCTACATCTCATAAAAAGTTGAGAGAACCTGCATTTCCAGAACTGATGATGAAACTGGTATTGTTTTTGATCTAATACCAAGCCGTTCTTTGGATTTTAAAGGCAAAAAATGTTATGGAGGCACTAAACGCAAAGGAAGAATAACACAAGTTTTATGCTGCAATGCTGACGTGGAAGTGGAAAATTTAACCTATGAATAGTAGGAAAATCAAAAAACCCAAGATGTTTAAATAAATTCGATCATTCTGGGTAACTTCTGTAGCATTTCGAGAATGATTTGTGCAATTTCAACGAAACATAGCAGCTCAAAACAGAAAAGTGTTGTTAACAATGGACAATTGTTCAGCACATAACTTTATGGGAATTGATTTGCGCAATGTTAAGGTCAACAAGTGCACTCCAACTTCTTAATTAAAGCATAATTGCGGCTATGAAGAAATGTTGCGTGCTCGACTTGTTAGAGCAGCAATTTTGGCAATAGAATCAAACTAAGAAAATCCAAAATGGAACATTTTACAAGCGATAAGAGCGTTGTCAGATTCGTGGAATTCAGTAATTCCAGAAATTATAAATAATTGTTTTAAAAAAGCCTGGACAACAGACTGATGCGAATGAGGAAAATGCGATAATGGTTTTAGTAGCTCTTTACTTATATGCTCATTAATAGGCTGAATTTGCTGATGTAGAGTGGGAAAATAATCAACAAATCTTGTCAGTACCGATACAGGTTAATTTAATGATTACGTCAGCGTTGATAGTGAGATAACGACTACAGAAGCAGTAGACATAGACTTAGCAGTAGTGAATGTAGACCAAGAAAGCGAAGAAAAAGAAGAATCTTCGCCTTCTTCTTTTTCTTCGCTGAAGGAGTACACGATGAAGGAGAACCTTTAAAAGCTGAAGTTTTAACCACTTTCTATACTATCCAAAGCAAATATTATTAGTTATCCAACTATGTAATTATTAACATCACAATTTCAATATTTGCTAATTCAGAAGAGAATGTTTCCGAAAATTTCATGGATTCTTTGAATAAAATTACTGAGCAATGCCTAAGACCAACAATGCCCATTCTGAGGCAAAAACAGTAAGTGATTATTTTAAAAACGAATAATGTTTATTATCATATATCGTACTTATTATATTAAACTTATTACACAGTCGATGCTAATATGTTTACGTAAACCTACCCCTAGAGCACTAGAATGGGTAGCATTATCATTCATTGTAACGAATTAGTTCGTTATATCGAAAATACGAACACCTCATTATAACGAACGGTTTGCTTTCCTCCCTGTGTTCGTTATATCATCGAGGGTTTACTGTAATAATAATCTAGCTACCATTCTATGTTATTTGAAACATAGAAACTAAAAGAAACTAAAAAGTTAACATCTCTACAACCATATGTTGAGCGGTCTTGTGGAACATCTTATTCTCTAAGTTGGAGGTTCAATTATACTAGGCATGATGTTATTCTAAAATTTAGATCATTTCCTGATCAAAATTTTGATGTATGAAAAATTTTGGAAGTTTTTTTTTTCGTTTTCAATTAATCCTCAAAACGTTAAAATTCAAGTCGAAACTTAAAAATTCACTGAATAGCTATTGATGAAAATTAAAAAGTGATTCTATCCTCGAATTAAAGCTGAGGATTTCTGCTTTAAAATGATATATAGAACATGATCTGAAAGAGTTTGTTTTTATTGATACCTAATTAATGCTGAAACATTCCCTTATCATACGATGATTATTAAAATGTTTTGGAAAGAGTATCAGAAAATTGTTTGCTAATATAAAGAGGAATTTTTCAAAATCGTTTAGGTGTTATTTATGTAAATTATAAAACAATGGTGATATCATATTAACTATGAAACATTCTCGTATAAAACGATGTTTGAAACATGACAGTTTGACTAATAAAAAATTTGAGCAAAAAGTTATTAATTATTAAGCTTACTGTTTTTATGACGTTAAGATTAAGAATAAAAAAAAATCCTAGATGAGTAATTTATGCAAATTATGACACAATTTTGATATCAAATTAAAGTTTTCTTTTAAAGAATTTTAGAAAAAAATGTGAAATGACTTATTGATTTATTAAATTAAATTAAAACGAGTACAGTTTTCAAAAATCATAGACAAAAGCATTATTAAACTCAGTTTTCATATTATTTTCCCTTCGCAAATTGTTTACTGTATGCAAATTTATCCATAAAACAATGATCCCATACGGTCGTTACCCACACAAACTCGTTTTAAGTAGACCAAACAAACATCATAGAAGAATTACATAATATTCATCCCACCTATTATATTTTTTTTTTAGTTTCTTTTTTTATTTACTTGAGAAAAAACGATTTTCTATTTAACTATGACGAAAAAGAAAAAAAGACCATATGTTTTTATTTAGACGATCTTACCCTGATAATATCGAATAAGAAATTTCCAGATCCGCCCCCACCATGAGCAGCATCACCTCCAAATGGTGAATAACGTTTATCTCGATCACCTTCTTCTGCAACATCCGAAAGATCTTCAGCTGGTTCGGGGCCGTTTCCACCGGAAGCTGCCGGTTCTTGATCATTTTCAGACGTTTCAGCTTCTCGTTTTGCTCTTACTTGAGTTGCTGGGGACTAATTAATAAAAAAGATGCAATAATTTATTGAGTTTTAAGGTTAAAATTTTATGTTTTAAGTAAAAAGTTTCAAGTTGATAAATGAAAAAGAGAAAGTGATTTGTGCTATTTGTTTAAGAGATGTCGTTAGTAAACGAATTAGATCAATAATAGCGTTATTTACAAAGCTTTTTTTTAATAATAATACCGTTAATGATATTTGATTGACGATTTCCCCTTCTTGGACAACTTTTATGCTTAAGTCGTCATTTTCGGGCGCGGGGAAGGTTTCCTATAAGAAGTTAAAAACACAATGGAGAAACGAGAAATTTATTAATTTTTCCTCAGTTTTGAGTGAGGGTTTTATTTTTCTTGTATGTTTATTTTTTGGGTTAGTTTAACATTTAAGGAAATCTCACAATTATATCTTTTGTATCCTGTAATTCGAGTCCTTTATATATAGACGCTATCCGATCTTCCAAAGCCGAATCCGTTTTATTTTCCTGAAAACGTTTATTATAATTCTTAAGAAATTAATTTTTATTCGTGTTTGAAAAATTAAATCAATTTCAATTTAATTTTTTCCTCACGTTTTTATGAATTGATGATGAAGTGGTAATATCTTCAGGGTCATCATTATCAAATCTTATATTAATCGTATTGGCAATGGGAACCTTACTCTACAAAAAATATTTACAAATACTACTTGTTTTAAACTTATTAGTACGACAATACAAAAATGATGTTATTTTTGCTTATCTCCCGTCTTTAAAGGAGTTTCTTTTTCAATTCCATTCAGAGTCTTCTCAAGAAAGGAACGAAACATGAATTAAAACATAAAATTCATTAGTATCTCACAGTGTAAAGTGCCTGTTCATCAGAATCTACTCTAATTTCGTTGACACTTAATGGTAATTCTATTGGTGCTTGAGACGATGATGTAATTGGTGCTTGATTTGTTGTAATTGGTGCTGGAGGTAAAATTATTGATGCTTGAGTTGTGGGTTCAGAATCAATTCTTCTAACATAAGATTCATCTATTAATACTGGTTGTTCTGGTATTGTGCTTACTTCCATCACTTCGGTGCTTTCTTCGTCATCATCTGGTGGGAATGTTGGTAAAACGACGGAAACCATACTTTCTCCACCACCACCACCTAAACCTCCTCCTAAACCGCTTCTTAAAACTACACGTCCAACTACACTGAAGAGTTGACTTGTTACATTTTGAACAACGTTATCGATTATCTAAAGAAAAATAAAATAGATTTTTTTTTGTAAAAAAAATGTGTTTATAGTTTTGATTAAAATTACATAATTCGGTTTTAAAACAATTTCGATTGCGTAAAATTATTACTGTTATGGAACGAATGACATTTTCCGATCATTTAATAATTTCGTGATTTGAACTTTCACTAAATTAACAGGATTAATTTGAATCAAAACTTAAATCTTGATTTTATTCTTACCTGAAATAGCGGGGGGCAAAATCGTCTTAATATCTGTATATTTTGGCTGAATTTATCAGAAATCCTCATCAACAATTCCGTTGGATCAACAGCTCCTGAACCCTATTTTTTATCACAGAACCAAAAAACCAAAAACAACACATTTTATTATACGTTAACTTCAAAATAATCGCCACCTCTTTCTGCAGAGTGCTGTTTAAAAAATAATTATTATAATCGGAATCGCCGTTTTGTAGGCGTTTTTCCAATCAATGGATAACTTAATGAGCTGTTAGTTTTTTTTGTTGCAAATTGAATAAATAAACAAAACGATTTTTTTTAAATTAAAGAAACATAACCAGCCGTTCTCTTTCACAAATCGTGTATTAGACCGTTACGGATCTTGAGATGGTAAAAAGAACATTTCATATACGAATGAAAGTCACGTTATTTAATCTAGAACTTGACATTATTCGCCCCGGATATGAGTGGCTATTTAGGTTTAACACTTGATTGAGTTTATTAAAAAACCTTTCTTAAAAAACATCATAAAATTTAAAACGATTTTAATAAATTGTACACTCCTTAAGCAATGAAGGACTCAAGTATTTATTCCACCCACAATAAATTTTATTTAAGGTCTTAACAACTTTATCATAAAAAAATAAATCTTGCCCTATTTTAAAACCAAATCCAATTCATATTACGTAACCGATTCGTGCTACAACACTTGTGTTGTTGAATGAATGTGTACAAAGTGGTTGTAAACCAAACTGTGGGACATAAACATATCTAGTTTTAGAATGGTGAAGGTCCGTGTGGAAGTAGAGCGGTTTCAACGTTGTTGAGTAAGAGGATGTGAAAATGCGAAAAGGAAAGAAACAAAGAGAAAATCAATTAATTGATTTTTAATTTGTTTTAATCGATTCATGATTTTAATTATTCTAAAATCTCTGTTGTATTTTTTATTGAGTTTGTCATCCCGACTTAAGTTCAATTAAATCAGAAACAATGTGTAAACTTCGAAACCAACCCATCTTGATTTGTTTTAACAAGATATGGATTGCAGGTGTGGAGAATAACGAGACATAAACGTAGAGAAGTAACAGAATTGATTGAAACACACAAATCACAAAAGAAGAATGGGAAAGGTATTTACAGGAACTATTCAAAGGAAAGATTATGCGTAGAGATATTGATAGATTTACTCGATACCACAGATTAGACAAGATATGCGAATAATATATGAAGAAATGGGAAAAGATGTGAAAACGTTAACCAAAAAATTACCAGGATGAGATAGAATACCAAATGAACTAATAAAATAAGACGATCAGAGATTGATACAAAAACTAACAAATCTTATTCAAAAAATCCTATTACAAAGTAACTACCTGATGCTTGGAAAGGTTTCATGTTTAAGAAAGGTTTATTTATTAGATATAGCACTGAAATTATCAACGAAAGATATAACGATCAAAATTAACACACTCACTTTGCATGCTTCGAACAGTAAGGATTCCGATCTGCAAGATCATGCGCTGATGTATTCATCCTGCGTCAAATGGTTGAGAAAAGTATCGAGTTATTGTACTCACCTATCTGTGTTTCATCTTAAGACAGGATATGACCGTGTCAATAAATGAGATATATGCGAATTACTATATCGTGCAAGCAAGAAGTAATGGTAAATTAATAAACAAGCAGTGGCATCCGACAGTGGCTACAACTATTTAGTATGGGTATGGATAAAATAATAAAACAAATAAGACGTGACAGAGGATATAGAATGGGCTATGAAGAAATCCGAATAATTAATATGTTGTGCATCTTCAAAGACTTATACATATTTTTAATACAACAGGGAGGAATTACCAACACATCAACAGAATGACCATTAACAGACTTGTGCGAGTAGTAAGAGACAAATCACCTGACGACAGAAGAAATACTTGACGCTTAAGAAAAAGATGGAATGACAGCATATTGATTAGAGCAAAACCGATGAAGAAACAGGCGTTAGCCTATTTTAGAAGAAGAATTGCAAAATCTCTGTCTGAGGTAAGCGACCTCAGACTTCTACGAGTAGCAAGAAACAAATCACCTGACGGCAGAAAAAATATTGGACGCCTAAGAAAAAAAAAAAAATAGAATGCCATAGTTTAGAGCAAAACTGATGAAGGAACCTATTTTAGGGTTTAACCTATTTTAGAAAAAAAATTGCACTGGCTCGGTTGCATTAAGGGTTTATTTTAACAATATGTGGATTGCACGACGAATTGTGCTGATTGATTGAACTTAACGATTATGATAAAATATTTGGGTGTCATCATAGACAAGCACATGAAGATGATAAAGCATAGAGAAGACTAATGAAGCTACTCAAATAGTTAATATCTTGACGTAAGTTATACTTAAATTAACTGGTTCAATCGCTAGGATGAGAAGGGTGATAGCAACGTTGATCATTTCGACTATATTATATGGCGCCACAATCTGGGAAGTAAAAACTACCAGGATATGCTGACTAGAGTACCTAAAATGTTATCTATAGGAACACAGTATTCAAAACAGCTATCAAAGTTATGACGAGAATTGATCCCTTGGTACCTTCTGACTGAAATATGGTTGTACTAGATGGGGATGGAATGTAAAGAAAACTGTAGTAATCTAATGAAGATTTAGCTGATGGAAATGGAAGATGGAGTAGCAGCGGAGGATTGACAAGAACTCTAATCCCGGATTTGAAAGTGTACATACAAAAAATTCTTTGCAAGAATATACAAAATTCAAAAATAGTCTATACAAAATTAGGAAGGTAGAGTCAGAGTAATAGAGCTGGTCATTTTGTGTCTCAATTTAGTGAAGACATTCTAAAGAAATTAATGATAGTAAAGTGAAACAGGCTCTCAGAAATCACGGTGTAGGAGCAACTGCTGTTTCCTCCTCAGTAATATACTTGTTCTTATATTTTTTTATGACGACTGCATAAATAAGGAAGACAATGTCAAATATTTATTGAAAGCTAAATATCAAAAAATAAAAAGAGGCCTACAAGAAGAAACAATGAGTGGTTAATACCACTCTCTAGATAGGTAAACTTAAATAGATAATAAAAGAAAAAGTGGCAACAGGATGAAGAGAAAATAGACAGAAGATAGACGAAAATGAAAAAGGAAAAAGAATAATAAGAAAAGGAACAGAAATTATTCTAGAGCAGAAACACTAGGAGAACAAGAAAAAAGGGCAACAAACTTTGAAATCAATATGTTGAAAACATTCTACCAGGTTTAAACGGTTAATAGAATCAAAATAGGTGGTTTCATCCAACTCTGATGTTCGATGGCTGCATTGGCACAGTCATACCAGATCAGACAATCACAAATAATAAACCAAGTATACTTAGTAGTGTAACATTGATGATGGCACAAATGTACAATTTGTTTGAGTTACCATCCAACGTTGTAAAAGTAGTCCAAATTCTAAACACGAGTAACATAATAAAGATTAAAACAGGCAAACACACAACCGCTATATTCCGACACAAGGCGAAATTAAACAAGGGGCAGTTCAAGCTTATTCTTATATCACTAATGGACCAAACTATACAGGAGGTGTTGTTGAATTTGGATTATAGAGCGATCAAGAATAATCATTATAATCTGCTACGCATATGATGCAACAATCATGGCAAGAACACAAGGTGATCTAAATACACAGCTCTTTAAATTCTATCAAGCAAACCAACTACTGAACATGACTATATTCATCAATAAAACAAAAGTTATGTTAATCGCCAAATCAAACAAGTCAGTGATATTGAACGGGAAATACAAGTACTGAGAATACGGAGTAAATGCTGATCTATTTTGGAACAAGAAGTTTGAATGCAAAATTTGGAGATTACCGAATCATTCAGGTCTTTGTATTATTATGGCACGAATTACAAGATGGTAAAAATCATCAATCAAAGGAATGTTGAGTTTTGGGGATCACAAGTTGGGGAAACAGAATGACTTCTGGGGTTCACTCTATTAACGAATGGGCTATTAGAACATGGTTGATAGAAAAAAATAAAGAAAGATAGTTGTTTTGGTGTGAATCATACCTTGAAATGTATATATGAAATGTATACATGTCCTATCCGATATGTACCTAAAACGATATTACAGCAAATTTTTAATAGATATTTTACAGCAATCGATTTAACAGTAATTTGGTGGTATCTTACTGTATACATTAAGTTGTGTTTTATGATATTTGAGAAATTAGCTCGTTGTCGTTATACACACAATATTATTTTATTAAATCTGACATGATTAGATACTCAATTACAGTTTTAGACCTAATTTTATCTCATCGACATTATTGTCGTATAACCTTTCTGTCTAAATTGTTCTCATTTTTCAATAAGTACGTCTATTTGTTCTTAATTTACTTGTGGCTTTTTAAATTCTTTGAGTTTTTCACTAACGTAATGCTAATTGCTCCTCAAGAATAACAAATCTTATTATCCATTTGTTTATCAGAGGTAAAAGGTCAACGCGTTGTATTCTTAACCTTTGAACTACACATTTACTACTTTCATTAAACTTTAAGGATTATGTTTTCGAATGCTTAGGAAGATACAGAAATCATAAAATATAATCACACAAGGATTCTACCTCAACCGTTTTAAAATAGTTTACTTATTCACCCAGTAAAATTGCATCTTCTAATAGTTCTTCATTAAGTCCAGCGGTCTTATTACATATAAAAGTCATAAGAGGAGCCATAAAAGGTTTTGACCACAAAGTGGTCAGAGCAGATATTAGTTTCTATGTAGGAAAACCAAAACCGCCAAACAGGGAAGCAAAAAACAATAACTATAAACCAGAGAATAAAAACTGAAGAACAGAACGAGGAAAACTATAATACCAACATACAATCAAAGAATTATTAACGCAACATGACAGGAAGAAAAAACAAAGGGAACAATGAACGATAGAAAAAAGATAAAACTCAAAACTACAATAAAAAAACTGCTGCAGAGGTTTGTGGGAAAAAGAGAATCAGCCACGAGCCAAGAGAAAGCTTAAAAGAACAAAATAGTAGAGTGAGGAGGTAAAACTAAAGTCAAAGAA